AGACATCAATATTTTTCAGACTCGTTCCCCTATACAGCAAACTTTAGAAAACACCATTCATTCAACTCATTTCTATAGTCACCTGAGGATCTCTTTCAACTCTTGTTTTTAAAGTATGTCCACCTTTGAAGTGAGAATCAAAACCCAAGACAAATCTTGAGCCCCTACACCTCCCTCTAGTAATCCTGGTAGCTCCCCTCCCCACCCCCACTTCTTGCATCCAAATGGAAAGTGTGAATTGGGAATAAGAAGAGGGAACCCAGAGATAGAGAGATGATCCTAGGGTTGGGCAGAGCAAATAGTACCTCTTCCCAGACTGGGTGATTAAATAAAAAATACGAAAAAATAAAGGGATTTCAAAATCAAATAAAATTGGGCAATTCTGAGTTCATCAAAGATAAGGGAATTTCTTCATTGTAGGATTTCATAGACCCTTTAAGTCAGCGTATGAGGATTATACAGAGAAGATTATAACAGCATTTCCCTGTGGAATCCTTCCTTTCTAAGAATTTCAAGGACTAGCATTTCAAGAAATACACTTTGAGAAACGTACAGCAGTGTTGAGATTTTGTCCCCCAAAAGCCACTTAACAATGCCTGGAAACATATTCGGTTATCACAGCTAGAAATCAGCAGCTGTTACTAGCACACAGTTAAAACATCGTACAGTGCTCAGGACAGCCCTTCACAATGAGTTATCCAGCCCCACGTGTCAATAGTGACACAGTAGAATGGCTCCATCAGAGAGTGACACACACACCTACTCCACTCAGACCCTCAGAAATGAGAGAGGATGAGAAGGCCAGAAAGAAGAAACAAGAGATAAAGGAAAAAAGAAGAAAGAAAAAAAGATAAGACATGAGAGAGAAAAATAGACAATAATAAAGGCACAGGTAAGGAAGAGACCAAGATAAAAGAGAGAAGATAAAGAAGCCAGATATGTAATAGCCAGAACTTGAAAGAACCAAATTGTCCTTCAATAGGTGTATGGGCAAATACACTGTGGTAAATCCAGACAACAGAATATTATTCAGCTTTAAAAAAAGAGCAGTCAAGCCAAGGAAATAAATGGAGAAAACCTAACTGCATATTCAAGTAAAATAAGCCAATCTGAAAAAGCTACATTAAAGGGGACTTCAAAAAGTTCTTAGGATAAAATTAAATACAAGTTTATTCTGGTGCAAAAAATTTTTAAATTCATGTATAATTTTTTTTCATAACACTCTCCCCAAACTTTTTGAAGACCTCTCATGCTGTATGATTCGAATTATCTGACATTCTGGAAAAGGCAGCAAACTATGGAGATAATGAACGTATCCATGTTTGCCAGAGGTCAGCGGATGGAAGGAATGAGTAAGTGAAGCATAGAGGATTTATGAAAGTATTTTGGAAGACATTACAGTGGAGGATACATGTCATTCTACATTTATCCAAACCTATAGAATGTAAACAGCCGACAGTGAACCCTGATGTAAACTGTGTACTTCGGATGATAACAGCCTGTCAGTGTAGGTTTATGGATTGTAACAAACCTACCACTCCAGTAGGAGATGTTGATCATGTGTGGGGTCAGGAGAGTATGAGAACCACTTTCTGGTCATTTTTGCTGTGAACCTAAAATTGCTCTAAAATATAAAGTCTATTAGAAAGAAAGAAAGAAAGAAGAAAGAGAAAGAAAAAAGAAAGAAGAAAGGAAGAGAAAGAAAGAAAAAGAGAAAGGAGGAAGGAAGGATGGAGGGAGGGAGAAAAAGAGGGAGGAAGGCAGGAAGGGAGGGACGGAAGAAGGGAAGAAAGAAAGAAGGAAAGAAGCAGAAAAGGAAGCCAGAGCACACATGGGAGTTAACTAGCCCCAGCCTCCTCAAGCCTTTATTACTTCTCTGAGTTTAGGAAGGCCCGAATGCTGTTCTTCAACAGGCACGAACTGATGGGTGAAGGCGAGGAAGACCAAAGGAAGGAGAGGATTCTCTTTCACCCAATGTTCTGTGCCCCAATCGTGGCGTCCCTGTGCCCCACGGAGGCCTCAGACCCTGCTGGGCTTCTTGGGGTCCTTGTTCTTGGCCGGCATGAAGGCGTACAGCTCCTCAATGAGCATCTCCATGCGGGCAGTGACCTCAGTCACCGTGTCGATGACCAGCTTCTGCTGCAGCTTCAGCTTGTTGTTCTCCCACAGGGCCTTGTTCTCCTCCTGGAAGGTGCGGTGCTCCTCTCGCAGCACGTGTAGGGCTCGGTTCTCCTCCTGTAGCAGCCGGTTCTCTTCGCGCAGGGCCTGCAGCGCCTGGTTCATCTCCCTCAGCAGCTGCAAGGGCTGATGGCTGTCAGGCAGGCCTGGGACCTCCTGGCCCTCATCCTCCCCAGAAGGCTCAGACAGGTTGTTGACCATCTCCCGCAGGGCGCGCAGTGTCTTAGAGTCTTCCTGCGGAGACGAGGGCCCTTTGGGCTCCTCGAAATTAGAGGAGAGGCCTGGGCCCTGGTCGGGCAGTAGCCCGGGACTGTGGGGCTCCTCATGGGGAGAGGAGGCCGACTTGTTTTCCTCTGCAGGTGCCGCCTTGTCCTCAGGCTGGGCCCAGTAGGCCTGTCTCTGTTCCAGCAGCTGCTGCAGGGCACGGTTCTCCTCCCTGAGGAGCTGAAGGGTGCTGTTCTCCTTGCTACGGTGCACCTGCAGGTTCGCGTTGTCTTTCTTCACCACCTCCAGGGACGCGTTGTCCTTGTGTAGGAGCGGCGAGGAGGCCCGGCTCTCCTCCTGGCCCAGAGCTGCCTTGTGCTCCTCCCAGAAGACTTGCAGGATCTTGTTCTCGCGACGCAGCGTCTTGTTCTCCTCGCGCAGGGCCTTGTTCTCCTCCCGCAGAGACCTGTTCTCCTCCTGCAGCAGGTACTCCTTGGCCAATCTCTTGTGCAGCTTGTGGTGGAACGAGGAGTTTGGCGAGAAGTAAGGGGACTGCAGGCGGCAGTTCTCATTCACCCACCGCCCGTCCTGGAACACAAACATTTCGTCGCTGAGCTGCACCCGGGGAGGGTTGTAATCCAGCTCCAGGTCCGCCTGGGAGGTAGGGCGTTCCATGGGGTCTAGGGGCACAGAGGAGAAGCGGTTCAAAAAAGTGTGCGCTGACGCCCCCGCGGCTCGGCCTGGGCGGGGCGGCCTGCCTGCTGCAGCGAGGCGTGCTGTACAAGTTGTGGAGCCTGAGGGAGGGCTCGGTGGTGCCCCTCTGTGGGAAAGAACAGAGAAGCCCAGGTTAACAAAGGAACCCACACACCCAGGACTGGCTGACAGACCGAGAAGCCAGGACACTCCCTAGTAAACCCTGCCTGATAGTCTGTCCTGGCCACAGTGGGTATTTTGCCTCTTAGGGCCCTCAGGAAAAAATATAGTTGAATCTTTTTGTTCCAAGTAGTTTTGTTCTATAGTCACCTTGAATGCTGAAGGAGTGAATTCTAGAACATTTCTTCTAAAGGAAATACAGGGGTAGGTTCTCTGATCACAATGTTTTGTCAACTGATGAAGACTGGGCTGGCCCCTTAACAGAGTGGTTAAGTGATGTGCATAGAGAGCCAGATCCCACATGGTCTCTTGCAGTTTAAATCTCAGCCCAGCAGCTTGAAAACCATTCTGAGCATGTGCCTACATGCTCGGAACCTTGATGGGATGGAGGAATAGAGGAAAAAGGATTGCAGCATGACCACGTCCCATTGAGGTTGCTTTCTTTCTCTCTACTGAGCGTATGCACTTTCTAGCAAAATATAAAAGAATTTTAAAGGTAAAAAGCCATAATCTTGCTTTATGTGTGATTCTGTTTCAAGACACCTTAATTAGTATGTACTTTTGATTCATTAACATTGAATTTACTGTCAATAGTGCTATAATTATAATTCATGACTGAGCAAAGCTTATCTCACACACATGCTTTCTCCAAAAGGCACATCACAGTCTTTTTTATTTGGAGGAGGGGAGGATTTTTGCTATAGGGCACATGCACTCCCTGGAGAGACAGAGATAGAGAGAAAGTGAGAAGTCAACCCCCAGGGCGGATGGCCATGCTACAATCCCTTCTCCTCCATTCTCCTGTGTAAATTTTGGGCACCACACACACGTGCCTGGTGTAAGTTTCAAGCCACTGGGTCCAGGACTTGAACCATGGTTGGCCATGCGGAAGTCCAGTGTCACAACCACTACACCACCTGCTGGCCCCCATCACAGCCTTCTTGTGATTGGGAGTGCTAGACAGCACTTCAGCTCTATGCTTGGAGACTATTTTAAACCATGAACCCTTTTTTTTTTTTAAGAATTATTTTAACTTTACTTATTTTCATTTTTAAAATTCAATTTTATTATTATCATAATCTTTTTTATATTACATATGATTACCATGCATATCAGTCAAGACAAAGACATTACTATCCATATCATCAAACAGCTTCATCATTTTTTCAGATTATTGTCATTATTTATTCTCATTATTATTTTTTTGTATTATTATTTTTTAATTTACATTTTTTAATACATTCAATCACATTATTTAGCTTACAAGTTGATCATTTCAATATGTGAACATTTCTCCCCGGTCAAGTTGATCAAAATATAACAACACTACCTTCCTGTCTCAACAATGCTGTCTTCGTATCCCTCCTTCAAATGTTTTTCCCCAGGCCCCACTCGTCCACACACACCACATCTGGCACTCACATCCACCTCTTGTGTTTGTACATCCTTTAGCCCGTCTGTTTCAGTTATAGAGTGCGGACATTCGGTATATATTAAGTGAGGACATACAGTATCTTTCCTTCATAGCCTGGCTTGCTTCACTCAGCAGTAAATCTTCAATATTCTTCCACTTTCTGTCAAAAGCCAGGGTTTTGTTGTTCTTAATGACTGAATAGTATTCCATTAAACCTGAACCCACCAATAAAAAGCTACACTAGACTGGGCAAAGGACACTATTTTCTGGTGTGAGAGCTGACTAGACTGGGCAAAGGACACTATTTTCTGGTGTGAGAGCTGAAACAAAAAGGCTCTTCAGCTGGGGACTCAGCATCAGGTGACTCCAATTTTTCAGTGCTCTGTGCATGTCTGAGAATGACCATGAAAATGCTACAACTATTGATTTAGGGGTTACAAACAGATTTTAGTGAGTTGGCAAATTTGCAAATATGGAATCCACGAATAATGAGAATCAATTGCATATCATGGAAGTTCAAGGTACTGAGAGCCAAATATTTTGAGTCCTGGCTTCACTGCTTATCAGTTACAAGAATTTGGGCATTAGTTGAGCTTTAGTTTCCACAATTTCAAGTTGAGATAATTGCACCTACCTCCTTGCCTGATAAAGAGATTTTTTTTTTTATTAAAAGAGGTGATATATGAAATCACTAAGCATAGGCACACCTTCCTTCCTACAGGAGGAAAAAACACTATTCTCAGGCTACTCCAGTCATAGGTGTATCCCCACAATTTGCATGAGCAGTGGGGCAGCATGAATCATCCCAGCAGCCACCCAAATTGCTATGTCCACAGTGATAGTGCTATTGGTCAGCCTAGCCATCACCCTAGCCCAGTTTAGGCTCCTCCTCCTGCTTAGGCATCTTAAGTCTGTCCTCCTGGTAGCCCCTTCATCATGTACCCCAGCAACAACACAGTGCAAGGCTCAGAACAGAATCCACTTGATTATTTTGGAAAGGAGAAGCACCACACAGACTTATCACTGAGCAATGAGAATTCAATATGCAGTAATGAAAATGTCAAGGCATTCGTAGAGAGGAATAAACAGTCATGTTCAGAAACTCCAAGTCCAGTGCATAAAAAAGGAGACCAGATCCACAGAGTTTAAATCCAACAAGACAGTGGCTCCCATAATTCCCAGTATAGAATAACCAGTGTGGATTTCAAAAAAAAAAAGTTAAAATGTCTTCATTTGTTTATTCATTCATTCATTCATCTCATGAGAGAGGTGAGGGAGAGACAAGAACCCCCAACAGGGTCTCATGCCATGATCTTTTTACCCGTTTCTAACCAAGATCACAGGCACGAACACATCTTTCACATACAGTTTGACCTGGATTCAATCTCCAGTCTTCCACATGGCTTCCAGCATTGCAGAGTGTTGTGCTGCCACTGTACCACCATAGCTGGACCCAGGATGTGTGCACTCTCCCAAGAGACACAGAGACAGCGTGAACTCACCCTCTGGGGGGATGGTCATGCCTCAATCCCTTCTCCTCCATTCTCCTTTTGGGATTTGGGGCACACATCCACATGCACCTGGAATGAGTTTTAAGCCACCGGGTCTGGGACTCAGATCATGTATGACTATGTGGGAGTTCAGCAATTATGCCAACTACTGGTCCCAGAGTGGGTTTTAAATGCAGATTTCCGATCCTCTCACTTATGAGTCTGATTTGCCCAGTCTAGGGCGTGGGTAAACCATCGCATTTCTAGCTAGCCTCCTCAAGTGATTCTGCCTGCAGCTGATCAAGACAATTTGAAGCCAGGTAGAATGAGTAATTTGCCTAGGTGAAGATTACATGAAGGTTAAAGACAGGAGTCAACACGGGGAATGGTCACAAGAACTCTCCACCTGGCCTGTCACTGATGGGTAGTGTGACTCCCTGAGACCCAGATTTCTTACAAGTGAAAAAGAGGGAGTCAGATTCTATAAACTCAAAGGCATCCTTTAACATTGAAAGTCAATGAAATATGCCTGTAAAATGGCAATAATGAGATGTGCCCTGCTTAGTTCTTAACCCTGTTATGAGGATTGAATGAGATAACGAATGCAAAAACGTTTTGAAAGTGCCAAGTGCCATAGAAATGTAAGCTATTGTTATCGAGAAAAGTAGGTTTCACTAATGCAAGAATTCTGAAGTATATCAAAACAAGTGAACAGGTGGGATGCACCCTGGAGAAGAGGCGACAATTGCAGCAATGAATTTAAATAAAAATAAGATCATGATAGCTACTTCTAGATACACCAAAAGCGTTTCATCCAAGTACATCAAAATGCTCTCCAAATATCAATTTCTCATTTCTTAGGTTATTTTCACAATTGAACAGAGAGAGAAGATAGAAAACAAGTCAGGTTATCTGCACTGTATGTGTGTGTGTATGTGTGTAGAGATATATAATTTGCATAGCATATAAAGTTAGACTCAAAGAGCTAGATAAATAGGAGATGTAGTTCTATGCTATTAACTTTGTAATAAGCACATGTCATTAACTTTGTAAGGATATGCTCAATCTTCCAGAGAGCAAGGGTGTGAGGGCAATCAGAAACTTATTTACTTTAAATAAATTCAGCCTCCATGGTTTTAATATTTTTCAACTGGGAAAGTGCATTGGCTTCTATGGCTGAGTCTGTGATTAGAATGAACCTCACTATGGATAGCTCAGACTCTTTCTTTGTGTATTTATGGTCCCAGGGTCATGGATTTCTGAGATTACTCAAGGCCAATAAGATTTGAGAGGTCTTCTCCATTCTTGCACTAGAACCTGTGCAGGGCTCCATCTCAACCAGATCTGACTCCAGAAGACATTACCATGGGAAAATCTGGTTTTAATCAACATTTTGTATCCCAATCCTGAGAGGAAAGGGCAAAAAGAAACAAATATTGAGTCCCAGTTTCATGGTAGGCCCTGAGCTAAGTATTCTATCTACTGAATTCATTCAGTTTTCACAACATTGACGTGTTAGTTGTTATAACTCCCATTTTTCAGATGGAGAAATGGAAACTCAGAAAAGTTAAATAACCAGCACTAGTTTGCTCCGTAAGACACAAACCCACTCTGGCTCTCTAAACTTATGTGAGTATACACATGAGAAACCACAATAGAATTATCACAGGACTTGAAGTTCTTGGGAGGTCCAGACATTTTTTCCTTAACTTTTTATAGTGAAAACTTTTAAATGTAAGTCAAAGGAGAGTCAGACTACCCTAATAAATTTCTATATGCCCATCACCCAATCTCAACAGTTTCCAAATTATGGCCACCTTTGTTCATCTAGAGCTCTACCATATTGCACAACCACTTCCCAACCACTGGGAATTTCAAAGCAAAGTGACATCATGTCTTTTTAGTCATAGATAGAACAATGTATGTCTGTTTACCAGAAACACAATACCATTACCATCCCTTTAAAATTTACAACGATCCTATTATATCAGCAAAAATCAAGCCAGTATTCAAATTTATCCAAGTGTCTCATAATTTCTTTTT